TAAAAATAAAACTTTCTAATTTGGATTACAACAAAAATATTCTGTCCTGGGTCCGTATTCTCCAAACAGGGGAGCAGCGTTCTCATGAGAATAAAGGTTCTATCTTAGTCGCCCATATTGTTATTTCTATAATACTGACAAAGACAGAGCAATCGTTCTCTCGAGAACGCTGCTCCCCGGTTTCGAGAATACGGGCCCTGCTGTATTGTGTGGAAAACATCATTTTACTAAGCTTGTGTTTAGATATGAACATCAAAAATTACATCATGCTGGAGCACAACATGTTCTTTACCCTGTGTGTGGAAGGTACTGGCCGATAGGTGGGAGAGTTCTGTCTTGAAAAACTGTTCCAAAAATCCAATCATGGGGATGTTACCTATAGATCGGTTACAACCTGCCGTACCTTTTTCTTCGTGTGGTATAGATTATACTGAACCGATGTTAATTAAAAACAAAAAGGTTAGAGGTAATATTCGAGACACTTTTTGTCTGTTTTGCAACAACTGCAATACAGATAGAATTAGTAACAGAGTTAACACAAGCTGCATTTAGACGATTCACAGCGAGGCGTGGCAAACCTAACAGATAATGGCACTAATTTCGTAGGGGCAAAAAATAAATAAGCGTAAATTTCTACAACAAAATTCTTTAAATATCAGTAAGACTTTCGACAATCAGGGCATCGAGTGGCATTTCATACCCGCCTTTTCACCTCATTTTGGTGGTCTCTGGGAAGCCGGGGTAAAGTCCTGCCAAACACATTCAAAGAGAGTTTTGGCAAATGTATGTTCAGTATACGAATTTTTCTATACCGTACTGAATAAAACCGAAGCCATCCCAAATTCCCGTCCTTCGACTCCAATGTCGAACAATCTCAGTGACTATTCTGCCTTAACCCCAGCTCACTTTCTGATCGGAAGGACAATGATATCCTGATGTGAGGCATTTACCCAAAATAAAACTATCACTCTATTCAAATTTTCTTTCTGACCACGGTTTCTAAAAATTTAGTTAAAACTATACAACTTTTGTATTTACACATTTCTTCTACCTATAAAGGTAAAGGCTGTAGGTGGGGTGTCAATATATATTAAAAAAAAAAACACCCTGTACAAATAAGTGGATTATTGCGGAACTTATGGGTGGACCTCTGCGGGACGAGCGCAGCGAGTTCCGCAGCCATCTACTTACCAATATACTGTTGAACTATTGAAATGAGACATTCACCTGAAACGTGTAGTTTTTGAACTAATGAGAATAACTGACACTTGAGTGAGTCAGGTTAGTATCGTAATTAAACAACATATTGATAAATAGATGGCTGCGGAACACGCTGCGCTCGTCCCGCAGAGGTCCACCCATAAGTTCCACAACAATTGACTCATTTGTACTTGAATAACTTGTCACATTATGTTACTAGTTTGGTAAAATAACATTACTAATTCCTGTTGAGAGGCAAATTGACAAAAAGTGGATAATCTTACAAATTCTGACTTTATATAATAAGTTATTGTTCATGTAGTACTTTGACAAGCTATATCTGCTATCATAGCTATACGATCCTCTTTACATTTCAATATTTTTTTTTTGCAATGATGATCTTTTTAAAATATTGAAATTTGGTATAATTTCTCAAAATTTGCTTATAAAACTTTAAATAATTTTAGTTGTAATTTATGTGATCTTGAATAAATTCATTGCAACTAAAGCTGGATTTGAGATACGAAGACAACAATAATTAAGTTGGGGCATATTCAAGAATTATTGAAATGTGTGTTCCAACAATAACTTAGAATAAAAAATCTTGATATCATAGAATGGTCGTAGGGCTGAGACTTTATCATTTACATCCACTTAAGTTAACGTACGGAAAATTAATAATAAAGCAAAGTTGAAGATCATGTACTTATATGTGTTTACATCTACATACTTGAAAATTGAGAAAATTGACGTAACACACGGAGAAGTTAAATCAACTTCATGATGGATAGATTGAACTAGTCTGTGATTATCGTGATTATCAATGTCATTGGTGATTTAGGAAAATTTGCTTCATTGTAAACACACACCTTTTCAGTTTCGTACGTTAATTATAATTTCCCGTACGTTAAGTTAAATCAAGTGGACGTGAATGACCCTTTAGAAAACCTATCAGGAGGTGCAGGTGCTGATCTTCTGGAAATTGAAGAACACGAAAGTTGGAAATTAAATACTGAAATAAAGACTTACATAGAAGAATCTAAAGAAAATAAGAGGAAAATAGGTATAAACTATCTTGGAGAGTTGTCAGTCTAATGATGCACTTCTTTCCACCGTTTCAGGTAGGTATATTCAAACCACAAAACTCTAACTTCAGAAAAACTTGTACTCAATAATTATATGAATTGTATATCAATAAGGTGTCATTTACATCCACTTAACTTAACGTACGGAAAATTATAATTAACGTACGAAATTGAGAAGGTGTGTGTTTACAATGAAGTTAATTTTTCACGTGACGCATGTGCATTTCTAACCTCAAGACGAATTATATGCACAGAGACAGAAATTAATGCACGGATTTCCTTAAGTTGAAGTTGGCCCAACTTTTCAGAGTGTCACGTTAATTTTCTTAATTTTTAGGTGGATGTAAACAGCTAAGTAGTACATGATCTTCAACTTCACTTTATTAGTAACTTTCCGTATACGTTAAGTGGATGTAAGATGTAAATGACATATGGAATAAGAAGCTGCTATTTATGTTTTTCACAATAAATGATTAGTTTCTTCCTACATTTTTTTCATTGCTTTGCTGTACCTACTTGGTAATGAAATAGAATAGGTATAGTATATTCTAGAGCAAATGTGGAATAATCAAACTTCTACACGATAAGAGAGGTTTCTTTCACAAGTGTAGAATTTTGTAATCTTCACGTGCTTTGGACTATACTTTACAACTAATAATTCAAGACAGCAGGTATTTGTTTAAGAACATAAACGAACATTCTTTCACTAGTAATGGAATGAAACTATTTTGTGATAAAATTCTTAGTTGATTAAGGTAGATATAGGTACCTAGTATTTTTAATACCCATTTGTAATAACCCCATCCCTGTTTATCAATCACGAATCAGATGATAGAGATGATACGAGATGAGCACAACGACTGGTACTTTCAAATAGATATTAAAAAGACTATATAACAAAACTTGAAAAATTATATTGTGCTTTGATGTTTAAATGTTGTATTTATATAGAGTTTTGAAAATCGTATAACAATAGAGATTTGAGGGAAGAATCGATAGAAATGCATAAATAAATTAGGAAGGTAACTAATATTAACAATCATCTAGGTGTACGTATAAATAATTGTTTGTAAATAATTATAGTGTTATATATTTATTTTATTTTGTTTCACCGCCTAGTTAGGTATGTTGTTGAACTTGAAAATTCGTCTTTAAAAACTTGAAATTATCAATTTGTTGGCTTCAAAATTGAATTTCTTGTGTATTTTACTCAATCCATTATTTCCCAACTTTTTTTGTGTAAGTGGCTTTGATGAAGGATACCTACATGTAAAAGTATCCGAAACCGGTAGGTACTTAGTCATATCATCTTCTTTATAACAAATTTATTATGACACATGTTATGTATTAGTTTGTGTTATTTCTCTTTTGAAATATTTGTGGACTTGAATACTTTTTCAAATTAAATTTTTTAAATTTTTGTTTATGTGTCTGTTTACTTGTGTTTCTACTTGAAACTTTGATATTGTTTTTGATTGGATTGAATATCGCAGGTTTTTGAAATATTTCATTGGGCAAGTAGGGTAGGTACAGCGTATGAGTTATGATAAAAGTGCGAAAATGTTATTAAATTGACGTTCCTTGTTATTTTGAATTATTGTCAATACATTTTATTATATAAATTGAATGTATTTACCAATAATTTTAGAAGTGCAACAATGTGTCGATGGCTAGAAAACTTTACAATAAACACAATTTTGTAAAGAAATCGTATATATAAACTTATATGTACTTATGTGATTGTAACAAGGAAGAGAGAAATCGTATGCTATTTTATTTTTGCTAATTGTAGATAGGTAGGTACTTACATACATAATCTAGGTATATCTTATTTGAGTTTTCTATTGTAGGTAAATTCTTGTCAATTATTAAACAATCTCATTTCAAGTACCCTTCGAAGATCACATTTCATTTAGTATAGGTATTATACCTATTTGGTATGATAAAATATAAGAACTAAGAATAAGATATTAACATAATATATTTTTTTCTATATGAAATTTATATTATTTTTAGTTTGACTTGGTAATTTTGTATTAGCGTTTCTTATTTTTGTGTTTTTTTTAAATTTTATTATTGTTTATTGATCGCATCTTTGTATTGCACTATTTCAAATACTGGCCACATCAAAATAATATTAAAATATATCATTCTGCAATGAACCAGAAGATGTTTCTTTAATTTTGTTTAAAATTTATTATGGTATTTGCGACATAAACATGATAGTAAGTACATGTTAATAATCTTTCAGAAATTTTTTGGCAAATAGATATTTCGTGTTTGATAAGTGTGATTTTCATTATTTAAAATTGTAAATTGTTTGAATTTTGAAATATTATAAAAATTTATAAAATTTTGTATTTATATGAGTAGGTATAATTTCTTTTAGTTTGTGATGCTGATCATACATAGATTACTTGTTTGTTTATATACCTACTTATTTTACTTTTGAAATAATTTGTTATTGTTTTTATTTGTTTGTTTGCTACTTTTAATTCACTTGCGATATATATTGTAAATATATAGATATTTGAATGAGGGTATTTTTTTCCAAAATTTATTCGACTAATATTTTTAGTTGTTGATTGTTTTAACTAAATATTTTAGTTTTTATACTTGCTTATTTAAAAGTGGTATGGTTTTGAATAGATAATAATGAAGAATGTAGTCTGGTGATGGTATTGTCTATAGGTAAGTCTTAAGATTAAGACTTACCGATAGCGGTTGCAGTAGGAAAACTAGGTGAAGCGACGGCGGCAGCGTTGGCGGCAGCGGTGGCGGCATTTTCTTCATCTTCCAAAAGCCGAATGGGTCTAGCCTGTTTTCTTCGCGACATGTTCGTTTTCCACTGCACACAAGACACTGTCACGGTCCTGGAGCACTCAACATATCGCACTCATCATCAGTTATGATTTTCGGTGATTGGTAAGAAAACGGGGAAGCATATAAAATAATAAGACCTCGACGGCGCGGCGTCGCGATGCTGTCTAAACCTAAAGCCGTCGCGAATGGTGGGGACTCAATAAGGGCGGCGCGACCGAACCACCCTTCGTAGAAGGTCGGCGGAGGTCGGGGCGCGAGTTGGCGTATTGCAATTTTTGATGGAAGAAGATCATCCAGGCACGGAAAATATCACTGCAAAGTCCTTTTTTCCTTCAGGTGTTTTCGAAAAGAGTTCAGAGCCGGGTCACAAGTCACTCTGTTCGTTTGGGACCCTGATGCCGGGCTTGCGACGAGCTCGGCGTGCGGTATTTGACTAAGTGATATTCTCAGGCCGGCCCAGTAAGGACCGCCCCTCTCGGATTACCTGGGAAGGGGGCCCGTGGACTGGCTCATTCAGCACGAGAATTGCTTACCGCTCGATTCATAAATCACTGATATTTTCAGGTTTTATTTCTCGAGTGCAGATTAGACAGCCTCACAATAACACCTTCACTACGATGGATGCCACCGAGTGTCTGGGCGGGCGGGACAAAATAATGCGGTCCTTCGAGCCGGCTTTTACACACTTTACTTGGTTATTATTCATATTTTTATACCAATTATTTAAAAGATTTCAGAAAATTATTAAAATGGACGAAACTTTTTGATGACTGAATGATATATTTACATTTTGATGAAATTGAGTATATTACTCAATGAAAACAACCAGGGCTATGAATGTTTATTGACCACTTCTCACCATTTCACAACACTAGACAAATGACATTTAACAGTGCATTTAGATACGTACCTTAAACCTGCACGGGGTCTGGAAATCCCACCTGAAGGAGCGAATAGCTTTTTTGAGAATTTTTTTCTCTACATTTGAGACCTCAAAAAAACGGCTTTCATGGCCTGAACTAGTTAAACATATTCGTATTGAATCTTGCTATGCACTATTCTGAGATTCACGTTTTTAGTATAATATCTAAATCTATGAGTTATCTTAATGTCCCTCTTCGACCTATATCTAATACCATTGCAATTATTATTATTCATATCCCTCCTATCCTCACTTTCTGACAAGTGATAATGCATTAAGGTTTTTGTACCTTCCATCAGCTTTTTTTGTTAGACATAACCTAACTTTAATTCAATTTTTTTTTGTTGTTGCACACTTATTTAATTGGTTAATAGGAAGTTTAATGATGGTTTTATACAGACATAACATAAGATAAAAAGATGACCTTATGAATATCCTTTATGTAGTTCATATACAAAATAAGACTTAACATTAGACATATAAGAAAGTTGGTTAGCTTTCAACCTTTATGTCTTATTTCATGTGAAAATGGATCTGCGCATGTTCCATTTAAAATTTGACATTGACATGACTGTTTTGTGTTGAGTTTAATAGAGTGACAGAAAACACGAGATCATTCTCTTACAGCTTATTGCTTGAAAATTATTTCAACTTATGTGCTTCAAAATAATCTTATCCAATTTCTTATTGTTTTATGTCTTATATTATGTTATGTACGTGTCTGTATGAACTACTACAAACCCAACATTAACCTTCTTACACCCTCCCTCCAGCAATGTAGGTGTGAAAGTTATTTGCATTAAAACTACATACATCCATATCTTTATTGTTTTTTAGAAAATTATATTATTTTACATTTGGTAACGTTAAGTTACATGCCATTTATTTGACACCACAATGCCAAGCCATCTATATCTTTTTGAATCGTTTGACAAATCTTCTACTCATGTAATATTTTTGAAACATTTCAAGTCATCCGCGTAAGAAAGAGACTCTGAATATCTGATATATTCTCGAATATGATTGATAAAAACATTGAATAATATTGGAGACAAATAGGCTTCCCTATGGAACACCAGATATAACTAAAATTTACCTGGAGCAAACATTTTTCAGTTTAACAATCTGACGTCTATTACAAAGATAATTCTATACCCAGTTCAACATGCTTCCAAAAATACCCGCAGCTCTAAGCTTATTGATAAAGTTATCATGAATGACAATATCAAATGCCTTTCTAAAATCAGTATTAACTGCATCAACCTGCTGAAACGATTCTATAGACTCAACCAAAAACTCCTCATAAACTAGTAATCCAAATCCAAAATGCCGGAAATTCACCTAAGGATAATGATCTATTAAAAATTAAACATAGAAAATGAGATAAAATATAATTACAACTCTTCAAAAATAGAACAGAGGCGTTATCTGGTCCCATACTCAAGTTATCACTTAAATTTGAGATTGCATTAAAAACTTCCATCTTGCTAACTCTTATAGTACCCAAAGAGACATTATTAGTATCCTTAAAATCCATATCACCACCAGTATTCTCATGATATACCTACACTAGAAAAAGAATCAGCACTGTCCGTTATAATTCATACAACCTGGCAAATCATAATTTCTACTTCTGCTATTAACAAAATTCCAAAAAGAGCTATATCATATATCGTTATAATTTCAAAATTATTTACATAATTAATATCCCTGAAAGCTTTTTTGGGCATTAGTCAATTAATCACATATTTTTTTAATAAAGATCATTAATTTGATAGATGTATCCTTAAATAAAACTGGTTCATTAACGGATAGTGGTCTTCAAAAACTTATAGGTTTATTAAAAATCAGTTAAGTATATTTTATATTAGAGGTTAAGGCTAATCATAATTTTAGCAATAGCCTAATGTACGCTCAACTCATGAATATTTTAGGTACATACATAATATACTATATTTTTTACGAAATACCTTCATTGTTTGCCAATTTTATTAAAAATAAACATAAGAAATTATCAACATAATTAAATTAATTGTTCCCTTTACAACATCTCACAGAATAGATTATGACCCACTTTTTCTAATCTGTGCCCTAAAGCTGGAGCGAGCATTTTCTATTTAGCTGTACAGATGGCGTTAGGATGCCAAAGCGAGAATCGTTGTATTATTTGTTCGCGTGATGAAAAAAGGATTTTGAATTAAGAGGGTACTTGCATGGAAAATTAAATTGATTATTGCTTATTGCAAACTGTAGGAAATCGAAAAAAAATCGTTACTTTTTTTTAATTTCGCCCAAATATGATTATTCCGGAAGTTATACGAATATTAAGTTTTGTATATATAGATATACTGAGCATGTGCAACGTCACTAATTTATGATAAGTGACGTCATAGGCATATTTCATAGCGTTGTATCTCCGTCAACTTTCGACTATAAGAAGAAAAAGAAAAAACACGTGTTTACTTATTTTTCATGGACTAACGAAATCAGCAATAAAAAAAATTGATGCAAGTACCCCATTAGTTGATAAGGTCAGGTAATCGAAGCTATGACATGACAGTCAACAGGTAGCTATAATAGTTAGTTTGAAGTTTCAAGCATATTGTCTTCTTCTGATGCATGTAAGTTAGAGAATTTGTACTGTTCTTAGCAGAAGTGGGTCTTTATTTCTTCATTAAAGTTTTGGGGCTATCTCCGTATTTCATTTACGATACCACAATTATTTGACGACGAGTAAATGAAGGGTTCATAGTTTGTTTTGTCTACCGAAACTCCTCTAAAATTTTTTAAAAAATTTCTCGGAAAAAGTGTGCTGAATGTTAGAGTTAAAAACACAGCAACAGTGTAATTTTGGCCAGAATTTAACGTATAGAGTTCAAAATAAATTCGTGGAATGAAGCAAGGACCTATACTTGACAGATTATGTGAAGTGAAGGCAACAAAATGCTTCAAAGATATTTTGGAAATAAGCATTGGATGAAGAGGCAGCTATGAGAGAGCAGGCCCGTAATAGCATGGAAGTGAATCGCGTGTTGAAGTTTAAATATAAAAACAAAGGTGGTAATCGTGAGTTAAAGGAGCCTGTAAAAAATTGGATAGAAAGTGAAGGAAAAAGTGGGAATCAGGATGAGTTAAGATGCAACATTTGTAATAAAACAAATCATAATTTTAGCAATAGTAAATACAAAAAATTCACTTGTAAAAAATGTGGTAAAAAAGGAAATATTATGGCAGATTGTAAAGAAAACAAGTAAAAAAAAAAAAACTTAGTTGAGGAGGAATTAGATGAAGATAGATGAAGATCATCATGGAAGTCTGCCGCAGTACAACCCATTCCAAAGAAAGGAAAAAAGACAGATCCGTTAAACTATAGACCAATTGCTCTACTTCCGGTGATATCAAAAGTAATGGAAAGAGTTGTGAACAATCACCTAACCAAGTACTTGGAAAAGTACAAAATTATCAACGATAAGCAATACGGATTTCGAAAATATAGGTCAACTGGCGATTTACTTACATACGTCACTCACTTATGGCAAAAAGCGATTGAGTTGCGGGGTGAAACAAGAACAATTGCCTTAGATATATCTAAAGCATTCGACAAAGTTTGGCATGAAAATCTGCTCAACAAGCTCAAAGCAATGGGATTATCGCCGAAACTTTGCACTTGGTTTGAAAGTTACCTAAAGGACAGATTCATTTATGTTGCACTGGATGGCCAGAACTCCAACTCTTACCAAATAAATGCTGGTGTGCCACAGGGAGCAATCCTTTCGCCAACTCTTTTTCTGATTTACATAAATGACCTTATAGATAAAACAGTAAATCCACTTTATTGCTTTGCAGATGATGGCAATGTAGTCTCCTCACTCATACCACCCACAGGTCTTTCCGCACGTGAATTCCATCATCTTAGACTAACTCAAATATCGCAGATAAATAACGACCTGGAGATAATAGAGGACTGGGGTAACAAAAACCTTGTACAGTTCAACGCGCAGAAAACCCAAGCAGCTCTGTTTTCAAAAAAGACCAGCACCGATGAGCCAAACATCATGCTATCTGGAAGTGCTGTCACATTACAGAGTCAGTTGAACATCTTGGGGGTTACTGCAGAGACCAACATGTCTTGGCACAGTCACGTGGCAGATATTGCTAAAAGGGCGTCCCAAAAGCTGGGGGTGCTATTTCGTACAAGACATCTGTACACACCACGCCAATTGCTGACACTCTACAAAGCCCAGATTCGACCAACTATGGAGTACTGCTCACATATATGGAGTGCAGCACCCAAACATACCTTAATGCTTTTGAACACCGTGCAAAAACGAGCTATCAAGCTGATCAATGACCCCGCACTTACTCGTAACTTGGATGGTCTCGAACATCGCAGATCTGTGGGCGATTTATCTCTCTTCTACAGGTACTATCACGGAAAATGCTCTGAAGGGTTGGCACGTATGATTCCACCGAGAGTAGCGCCTACCAGGCGAACCCGT